TCTCATGTAAATAGTGCTAATATTTGCTGTCTCTCTTTATGTGGTATTTTTCCAGTCTGTTCATCATTTGCACTGTTATTTCATAATTCACCTATTACAGTAAAACTCCAATTGTCCAGCATCCAGTGGTCTGGCACTCCAGATAGTCTGGCACCAACTGGAACCCGGAAGTGCTCCGGCCAGCCAGACAATTGGAGCTGCTCTGCCCCCGGATTTCCCAAGTGAGCCATTGCTGAAACTGACCAACAGCTGATTTGGGTAAGCCGGGGGCAGAGCAGTGGGAGTGCTGCTGGGTTGGTCCCGTAGTGCCGCCCTCTCCCACACTGCGCAGTTCCCCGCCGACCCGCACCCCACTCCACCCCACCCCAGACCTCTGATAGCCCCCTTCCGGTACTCCGGCATATCTGATAATCCGGCACCCCGTAGGTCCTAAAGGTGCCGGATTATCAGAAGTTTACTGTATTTGGTTATATTCTGATGGTAATGGGATGACCCGCACTGAATACAGTATTGCAGATAAGAGAATGCTATTGATTTATACAGTGGATTTATAATATTTTTTCTATTCTTATCTATTCCATTTCTTCTCCATCCTTATATTTTGTTTACTTTTCTGACTAGCCAGGTGGAATGACCAGTAGGAATGTAGGTGGGGCTTTCAACCTGGGACAAAGGAATTGGGGTTTTTTCTTTTCTCACTTTTGTCTCTCTGGGAGTTCTCTGCAGCTACAGAGAGGGACAAGCATGTCTCTCTCTCTCTCCCTCTCTCTCCCTCTCTCTCTCTCTCCAAGACATCATTCTTCATTTTCTGTAAGTAGGGTAAAGTTTAGGCAGTTTCGTTAGGTTTTATTGTTTTAAGGATTGGGTATGGGATCTGAGATCTGGCACTGTTTAAAAGATGTTTTGGCTTTTCTTTGTAACTAAGTTCTAGGCCCATGGAGTTTCTCCATGAGTATATTTTGTTACCTCCCTATCTAGTCATTATGTTTGCAACAGGAATATTGTTGTAATAATAAAAGTTCTTTCTTTTCTTTTTATTAACCTGGCAGTGGTTAATTGTGTGCCTTGATTTTTATCTTAGGGGTGAGATTTCCCAAATGATCTTCCCCCGGATTTCTTTATCAACATTTGGGTGGTGGCAGCGGAAGTTTTGTTCCCAAGATCTAGGTTTTTAAGATTTTTGGGGAAGTTTTATACCAAAGCCTGGTAGATAAGGCTTTGGGGTACACTTGCTGGCCCCCACTTCTGCATTTATCATGCCAGAGTGGGGAAGGAGCCATGACAGAGATGTCCAACACAGATGGCCAGGTCTTTTTCCTGAGTTGACACAATTCATTAAGAATCTAGTATTGAGTTTTTCAATGTATTTTCTCGTCCTGTGTGCATTACTTCTCACTTATCAACACTGAGGTGTTTTTTTTCCTGCATCGAGTATCATAGTTGTCGTACTGTGGTACTGTATCTGATGCAGCACTTACTGATTGGCTAGAGAACAGGATGTTTAACTTAGGAAAGATGAAGAGAACTAAGTACACCTAAAAATGCTAGGTCTGATTCTGCTCTAACTTACACTGGTGTAAAACAGATGTGACTCCATTGAAATCAATGGAAGTACACCATTTCTGAACCAGTATATATTTGGGAAGAATCAGTTCATTCTGCCTTTTCACCCTGCTGCCTCCAGACTTCATGCTATACTGAGCTACAAAGGATAGGAAAACCTTGCACTTCACTCAAAATTTCTAATATATTAATCCCTTTCCACCCTTTTGATATATTTTTCTTGACGGCTTCAAGCTTTTGGGGTGTGCCTGCCTCCATAGAATGAAATAGCTGCCTTGATCCTTAGTGGTCTCTGGCTGCCACAAAAGCAGCCCTGAGAAAATACAGCTAACGAGCTGGATCCAGCCTGCCAAACCACTGGATCTGGCTCACAGACACTGCAGGGAGCCTCAAGCAGGCTCCCCACTTCCCTCACCCCACCCGTGCACCGCTCAGAAACACAGCTGTGGGGTGGTTTCACTTTATAAATTGAGCCCAAGAGGGAACTTTAGGAGCTGCTCCCACCCCCAGCATGATCCCATTGGCAGGCTTCTCGACAGAAACTGGCCAGTGGGAGATGCCTGTTTCAATAACAGGCAGCCACGAAGCACAAGGGGCTAGTAGTTATTTACACTGCAGCCTGTGTGAGGGCAGGGCGGGCAGGCAGGGAGGCTGATTCAGGAACAGGCTGCTGACTGGTAAGTCTCCTGGTCAGAGCCTGCCTCTGGCACCCCAGACCCTCCTTTCCCCAACCCCCTACCCCCTGCTTCTGCCACCTTACTCCACATACCCAAATCTTCTGCCCCCTTCCTGCACCCGTACCCCCTCCCAGATCCAGCAACCCAATCCCCTGTCCCAGATCATAGTCCTCTCGTGCCCTAGCTCACAACCCAAACCCTATACCCCCTCCTGTACCCCAGTTCCCTTCCCCAGATCACAATCCAACCCCTTGCACTCCAGTCCAGTGCCCCAGGTCACAACTGCCTCCTTCATTCAAATTCCCTCCTGTACCCCAAGCTCCCTTTTGCACCCAGCCTCCATCCCAGACCCTGCACCTCATCCACTAATGTCATGGAAGATTGCAGCCCTCAGTCACTTTCCACATTCTTGGAGTGGTCCCCCATCAAAAATTATTGCCCACCCCTGCTTAAAAGTGTCTTGGAGTGTTTCAGCTGCCATATTCTCCAAAAGTGACGAGGAGTCCTGTGGCACCTTATAGACTAACTGAAGTGTAGGAGCATAAGTAGTACATGCATCTGACGAAGTGGGTCTTTGCCCACGAAAGCTTATGCTCCTACACTTCAGTTAGTCTATAAGGTGCCACAAGACTCCTCGTCACTTTTGGAGAATATGGCAGCTGAAACAGATTATAACTTCTTTCGTGATCAGAAATTGATGTGCTTATATAAAAAGAGGGTTAAGTAATTTCAGGGTTATCAAATTTTATGGTACGATTTACCTATTATAAAAAAGTTAATCCAGTCAAGCCCAAAATAGATATTAAAATGCAACATTGGTGCTTTGTTTATATTTTCTTCCCCCATTCATCCCTGCCTTTAGCTCTCATATTTTACTCCTCCAGGGCTACACAGACGGTATTTTTCCTACATCCCATATGTCCAAATCCTACAGAAAGATGTTTAGCTCAAATATCATGCATATGAAATGCTCCATAGTGCAGGTACAAAGTGCAACTTAGCTTTTGGTATGTCTTTAACAGTTGCAGAACAGAAAATTTATTTTTTGCACATCTTCACAGAAGGAATCAAAATTTTCTTTGCAGTGAGTCATCCATCATCTAAACAGGAACTGAGGGTCTTGTAGTGATATTAGAAGAGAGAGAGTGGCTCAGAGCTAATGGAATTTGAGATAGAAGAGGAAACACAAATGAAAGAAGCCCCCAGTTACTGAGAAAATAGAGTCCAAGGTTGGAGGGCCACACAAGTTGTGGATGTCAGAGGCAAGTGGATGGAGTGTGCAGAGCAGCCAGCAGTGTGGACCTGATTCACTAGCATAAAACTAGTGTAATGGAGTAAAACCCCTCCTTTGACTTCAGCAGAATGACAGTGGTGTAAAACTAATTTGCAGAAACTCAGGGCATGTTTTCAGTTGAATTCAGAATTTGAAAATAAAAGGACAATAAGGGTTAAATGGTCTTGCTTTCTGAAGTGAGACAGAAAGGCAGCAGTGTTCAGGGCCCCATGAAGATTGTGAATAAGGATATCATTAGATTGTAAAAAAGAATTGCAGTTAGTAAGACAGGACATTACTTTAGGCATAAATAAGGATTTCAGCAGCATCACAGTCAAAGTTAGGGTGGACTTTGGCAATCTTCTGTTGGTGTTGACAGACAAGACTTGTGTTCAGAGGTAATGTGTGGGAGAGACGGTAAGTCCAGTGTTATGGATGATTTCAAAGTTTTGGCTTTGGGTGCAAAAATAAGATCTGAAAAAAGGAGCATAAAGCAGGGGACTTCATCCTCTTGTCATTTCAGCCTTTTAAAAGTGAAGCAATGGAGAAGTTTTGTTATAATCAGGGAATGACAGTCAAGACAAGCAGTTAGAGCAGTGGTTCCCAACCTTTTCCAGATGGGGACCCATTTTGACAATTCAGGAAGACTTAGTGACCCAAGGCAATTCAAACAGGGGGAGGAGGGAGGGCAGAACCACCTGGGGAGACACTTGGCGACCCTTTTGAAATGTAATGGTGACCTATATTTGAGTTCCAACCCATAGGTTGGGAAACCCTGAGTTAGTGAGACCAGCAGTTTTTAGTCAAGGACGTTGTTACCTTAGGTGTCTTTCTCCATAAATGTGATGTCCAAGGCTACAGCTATCAATGATGTAAATGAAAAAGAGGAAAAGAAAGAACCAAAGACTGAGAGCTGAGTTATGCATTTAAGGCACTGTCCTACAATGAGGGTATTCAGGAGCTTCATCAATCATTTGTAGACTTGTAAGCAGTCCTCTTCTGTGCTCGGTCAATTCCACTGGCTGATGTTCAGAAGGGTGTGTGTGGGGGGTCTGTCTTGAGTCTGTTATCAAATACCAGTGACAGCACAGCAAAAGCACCACCTTTACTATGTTGTGCCCCCATATGTGTGAGAGTGTTCTTTCATTCTTACTCTCTGAATAGGGCCATACATAATATGGCCCTGAGTCTTGAGGCCTCTCATACAATGAATAAAGAAAAGTAAAGTAAATGGAAGGAAAGAGACACTGGCCTTCCTATTAGATGCATCCAAGATCTTTGAGCTGTTGTTGTAGCTGTGTTAGTCCCAGGATATTACGAAGACAAGGTGGGTGAGATAATTTCTTTTTCTGGATCAACTTAGACTCAAGATGTGTCATTGATAGGTATAGCTGAAAGCCACACTGAAGAAAAAAAATAAGATTAGGAGCACCTAGACATTCCAGAATTAGAAAAACATTATTAATATGACTCTTTTAAACCTACAGATGAAGGTTCTCAAGGACAACCCAAGAGAAGGCGCATTCGAAGGAAGAAACAAAGAAATATTGTTGGAAATCCTGAAAATGTATGTGGAGGACAAACTGAATCTGGGAAGCATGAGACTCTGTTTCAAGATAATTTACAGCTGCAGCAGACAGAAGACACAAAAATAAGCAAAAATAAAAAGAGGAAAATGAAAAAGAAACGACAAAAAGAAAAAATGAGAGCAGCTGGCTTGCTAACAAAAACCACTGCTGTGGATTTTACATATCAGCCTGAGAAGGACAACAGTGAGGAAGCAGACATTAAAGACATATATGAAAAAGCAGATGGCATTTTGGACTTCTTGCGGGCAACACAAGAAATCTATTTTGCTGACAGTATGTACCAACCTTTTTTTTCAATAACATTAACAGTTTGAAATTAGGAAAAATATGCATATTATATCTATACAAAATGGGCTATGTCCGTTGCTGGCTTATTAATCCACTGAAGAGAGTAAGGGTTACAAGTGCTTAGCACATCTAAAACTCAGATCCCCTTTTTAGGTCTCTAAATGTGCAGATAGGTGCCCATCAGTAAAAAATGAGTTCTCTGGTTCCCTCCTCTTTAAAATATGTATAATATTGCTTTACCGCTTTTGTAATTCACATAGTGAACCTTGGACAAAAAGTACCAAATCATCCAAATTGGATTTTTTTCTGTGAATGAACATCTACATGAATTTCTTGATGTCAGAAACATTCAAATCAGAAAAATATTATTTTAAACTGAGGGATTTTTGTCTTTATCTTTTAATGTGCTTTTCTGGAAGCCTCCCCCTTCTCCGGTGTCTATTGACTTCTAACAATGACTTCTAACTCACCAGTCATCCAGAAGAAATGGGGTAGTACAGTAAGAACTTTACTGGAGGACCTAAGGATCTTGCAGATGAGATGTATAGCTGAGGTTTTAGAAACCTGTGGCCAGTAAAGATGCTGAAGCATCCTTCAAAAGACTTTCAAGATATTAGAGATGATGTCCTATTATATTTGAATTCAGGTACCTGAGGTCAGGCAGATCCCTTTTGTTTCAAGTGGGCATAATATTCTTTCCTTATTCTCGGGGGCTGTGTCTAGACTGCATCCCTTTTCCGTAAAATAAGGAATAAGGGATCTTCTGGAAAAGGCTTTATTTTCCAAAAGATCCGCGTCTAGACTGGTGCTTTTTTCCGGCAAAGCTCTGAGCCGGAAAAAAGCGGCAGCCATGTTTATGCAAATGAAGCAGGGGGGATTTAAATCCCCGCTTCATTTTCAATTCCGGTGTGTCTAATTTGCATCCCTTTTACGGAAAAGGGATGCAGTCTAGACACAGCGCTAAAGTATTGTTCTGTGGAGCTTCTGTCATTAATCCACTTCTGAACTAGATTAATAATGAGTGAAGTGATTTTAATTGAGTGAAGTGATTCCCTGTGCATATTCTAAAACAATTTAGAATAATGAAGATTTGTAACTTTTTAACTTGTTTTAGAACTGCAAAATACTGTTATTTACAGTGTTGGGTTCAGAACTTGCTTTGAAAACTTGTTCATGTCATATCATCTTTTCACAATTCACAGCTTTGACATTCCTGGTGGAACTATGTGAAGAATTGTAAATAGTTTGCCTGCATGTAAAATATCCATCATAAGCCAAAGCTGTCAGATTCCAGTCTCATAAAATTTACCTTTAAGGTATAGAGCATCTTTGAAAAATGACTATTAAAATGGCATTTGGGAAATTCATATTTATTTTTCCTCAATTATTTTCAGCTATAATTTGCTCTGTTTACATTTAAAAATAAGTTTACTCTATCTCCAGCCTGTATACTAATCCTGTAATATGAGAGGCGAACACATTTTTTCAGGCTCATGTTGTCATCAGTAATAAAGATTTTGTAATTAGAATTTATGACTACTTTCTGCTCTTTATTTCAGTGTAAATTCAGAGTAACTCAACTGATTTTAATGGTGCTACTCTGGATTTACACAGCTGTAAATAGAGCATGTCTTAATTTGAGCTGGGAGATGTACATGTAGGCCTGTGTACCTACCCAGACACCTTGGATACATACACAGGCAGCTAGCCCAAACTGCTGCTTATGCTGTCCCAGTGTGGAGAAATCCCTGTGATATTATTATTTGTATTAAGATCTTGTCCTTTTGGATATATCTTTGTTAGATGTTCTTATAGAATCTCTGTAACATTTCTCCTATAACTTTGTATTAAGATATAAAGATCTTGTAAGAAAAAATGTCTTTTGAGCTCTCCCCTTTCCTTGATTGCCCTGTTGAAATGAATGAGGTGTGAATGGAGAATGAAAGGGGAGCACCTCCAGCAGCAGTTGCAAGGGTGGAGAAGGTCTGGGAGCCAGATCTAAGACAATACCTGCAAAGTGAGCTCATTAAGAAGACTGGACATACAGACGCCTTGGGAGTCAAGTAGCAAGTGCATGCCCTTGGAAGAACTTTCTTTGAAGCAGCATTAAGAAAGGCAAGGTGATGGCTAATTGGCTGCACGAGAGGGATAAATAGGAGGCATCTTGCAGAGGGACCCTGGGTTTTCGTCTTGTCAACATGGGAGCATCGATCCGGATCGGCAGAAGCCCGGCTCCATCCCCTCCCCCGTCTAACTCACCTGGCCAGTGCAGCTAGAGGGAGCAACTTTTGGTAACAAGATGGAGTGTGCTTGTGTGTGTGTGTGAGTGCATGAGTGTAATGTATCATATGCATATGATAAGTATTGATTATTCTATGTGTGATCCTTAAATGTGGCATGTTGCCTTATCCCTCTGAAAAAGATCCTGAGTACTTCTTTTAAGTACAACACCAGTTGTGTGGTTGTTTTCAGCATCTAGCTCAAGCAGAGCTAGCGCGAGTATGTCTCCATAAGCTGGAACACTCATCAGTAGAGCATTGCAAATCCACAGATATCAACTTTATATCAGCAGGTATCCACATATGTGTATGTGGATGCAGATATCCACAGCTCATTTTGCACATATGGATGAGGATACAAATTTTGTATCCACGCAGAGCTATACTCACCAGCTCAGATGTACCCTGAGAGTAGAATTTTACTCTTTGTTAAATATTCAGTTGAGCCAGAATGGAATCCTCCTCATAGCTTTCCCATATCTGTGTTGGCTGTACAGTTCTAACAAAAAGTATTTTCACAGTTTTCAAAGTAGGCAAAGCTAAATTTTGTCAGAGATTGACAGATTAGCCCTGACTCCAAAAGGGCAGAGCAGACAGTAAATCCAACATGGACCTGTTAATACACAGAAAATAAATTGTCAGGCAAAAACAAATCCTATTTTACAGATTAGATGTTGCATCTACACATCAGAATAGGACTAACTAGCCTATTAGGCAAACAGGGGTTTATATATATAGATCTTAAATTATGCTGTTTGCTTTTATCACAGGCCTTCTTGTTGGCTGCCTTAACACCTCCCTTCCCATTTTTAGATAAAATTGGAAACCACTGCTTTCAATGTCATCTACCATTGGTCATATTCTATTATACCTTTATATTTCTATTAGAAAGATTTATTATGAATCATTTAAGCTAATCACTTAGATTTTCTAATAAAAATAATTGTAACTTTAAAAGGAAGCATGTTTATAGGGCTTAATAGGGACAAATCATTCAAAAGTATTGGAATTGGACAAGTTAGGAGAAGCAGCGGCACAATATGAGAAATAATAGTTTCCTTTCTAGTTTTATTGCATATTATGATATATATTTTCAAAGAACATAAGAACAGCCATGCTGGGTCAGGCCAAAGCTCCAACTAGCCCAGTATCCTGTCTTCTGACAGTAGCCAATGCCAGATGCCCCAGAGGGAGTGAACATAACAGGTAATCATCCAGAGATCCCTCCCCATCACCTATTTCCAGCCCTGACAAACAGAGGCTATGGACACCATTTCTACCCATCCTGGCTAATAAGTATAGATGAACCTATTCTCCATGAATTTATCTAGTACTTTTTTGAACCCTGTTAAAGTCCCGGTCTTCACATTATCCTCTGGCAAAGGGTTCCACAGGTTAACTGTGAACTGTGTGAAGAAATGCTCAGTGGTTTGAGCATTGGCCTGCTAAACCCAGGGTTGTGAGTTCAGTCCTTGCGGAGGCCATTTAGGGATTTGGGGCAAAAATTCATCAGGGATGGTACTTGGTCCTGCTAAGAAGGCAGGGGACTGGACTACATGACCTTTCAAGGTCCCTTCCAGTTCTAGGAGATAGGCAATCTCCATTATTAATTTCATTTGGTGACCCCTAGTTCTTATGTTATGAGAACAAGTAAATAATTTTTCCTTATTCAGTTTCTCCATGCCTGTCATGATTTTATAGCATTTATAAGATAAATCAGTTTTCTCCCAAAATGTTTTACAGCAGACCTGTATATGTATATCTATAAATATGTGTACTGTACACAGACACATTACTATAACTATAGTAGAGTTTTTTCATTAGTCTATCTTGCTTTATCATAAGTCACAGTTGTTTTTATCAAAAAAACTGAGTGGTGAGGTTAGATTCCTCACAATTGATTTTTAATACTATTGGCCTCTTCTTTTCTTTTCATATTCAACATCTTCCTGCCTATCATGTTATTTTAATATCGAAGAAGAAATAGACCGCATGCCAGTACAGCATGGTACTGGTTTTAGGGAAGTATAAATAAAAAAAGAAATACATGTATTTTTAAAAGTGGAAGTAATTAAAACACGTTCAACAAAAGCAGAGGAAGTTCTTATATTTATTTGGCTTTCTTTGTTCAGATAAATCAACATGCACAGATTCAACTATGAGTTCAGCAACCTTCCAAGATATTTTACAACATCTTCAATCTCACAGCATGGCTTCCTCAGATGTGGCACTTCTACATCAGATGAAATCCCTTGTACTTTTGCAGGATATTGAGAGACTGAAGAGTGTTTTGGAACAATTCCAGGAATATTCCATGATGCTGCCTGGTATGTACAGTTTACTCATCATAATATTGATATTCTTCTCAACATTGAGAAATGTTTAAATATTAAAATTTGTCATGATCCTCATATAGGAAATAACAGTAATTAAATAACTACATAAGGATAAAAGTAAGATTGTTACAAGATTATGCATGCATCGCTTTTCACAGGGAAGACATTAATTTGCCTTTTGTGGGGAGTGATATGAAACCACACCAGTGGCCAATACTTCAAGGTTCTGAGTTTCCTCAGCTTTCAAAGAAGTTAGTAAGAGGTGAAGATTCTCAGAATGGCATAGTAAAAGATCAACTTTTTGAATAGAGTTATTCCCTGTTTCATCTCCGTGCTTAGAATAAGTAACCAGTATAGTAAACTATACCTATCCCTTTGTATATACAGTAGTGCTTTAAAGCGTCTTGAAAAGTAATGAGCAAGATACTGTTAGTTGTGACTTACCAAAGTACAGTTCAGACTAATGAGTAGTTGTGTCACACCTACCCTTCAAGCTAGGGTGCCCTTTTGAGTGCCTTACAACTGTAGCCTCCACCCTGGAGTGCTCAACAAGCAGCTTCCAGCATGGAAGTCAATCCTACCTATGTCTGTGTGTGCTGCAGACAGACAGCAAAACCTTGGTTCTTAGCATCCTTAAAAATTAACACAGGATAACTCCAAAACAGTCCCAGTCCAAGATTCCTCCCCTCTCCTGCCCTCCCCCCACAAAACATGCTACTACCCAGCCCTCTGCAGGACAGTGAATTAGGTCTATTATTCAAATGGAGTTACCCAGAGGCATCAACATGAACACACTAGATTAGATAAAACGATAAAACAAGTTTATTCACTGCAAAGAAAGACATAGTTACAACAAAAATAGAGATTAAAGGCTTACTGGCAACAAACATAACAAGCTATACTAGATTCAAAGCAAAGTTCTCTCACCACATGGTTTCAGCAGTCTCATTGGCTAAACTCTTTAGGTCAAGTCCCTCTCCCAGAGTCCAATGGCTGCTTCCTTTGTCTCTTCAGATATAGTGAATGCAATGGGCAGAAAGGCGTGGGAGGGTACCTTTGTGGTGTTTTCCCCTTTTTTTCAGCCCCCTCTTTAAAAACATTTCCAGTTGAGATGCAGGAGATAGAATCTGTGGAAATTTTTTTTTAAATAAACCTTGTCAGTAATTCCTTTGTTTTCCTTCCCTGTTTGATGACTCTATCCGATTCTTAAATGCACATTAAGGCAAGCATACCTTCCTGGTTTTAGAACAGACCTGACTTATGCCTGGGCAGGGCAGTGGAATTTGGAAATGTGCTAATGTAATTTTATACCGTCACATAAAATGTCACTACACATAATTTACAAGGATAGTACTGACCAGCAAATTACAACTTTTGACTGATACTTTACAAGACATATTTTGTACAAAAATTATTACAATGGAGCAGAAATTCTCAATAAATTTATGATTGTGGGCTACATATGCAGCTCTTAATGTGTTGTGTGAGCCACATCCATACCATATATTAGGGGTGTAAAATCCCATTTAATTGGTTAACCAATTAAGTGTTATGTTTAGAAGATAAGAACAGCCATACTGGGTCAGACCAAAGGTCCCTCTAGCCCAGTATCCTATCTGCTGATAGTGGCCAATACCAGATGCCCCAGAAGGAGAGATCACAACAGGTAATCCTCACGTGATCCCTTCCCTGTTACCCACCTCCAGAGAAACATCCCGCTAATAGCCATTGATGGACCTAGCCTCCATGAATCTATCTAGTTCTTTTTTTAAACCTTGTTACAGTCCTGGTCTTCACAACATCTTCTGGCAAGGAGTTCCGCAGGTTAACTGAGTGCTGCATGAAGAAAAACATCTTTTTGTTTGCTTTAAAACCTGCTGCCTATTAATTTCATTTGGTGACTCCTAGTTCTTTTATTGTGAGAATAATTAAATAACTTTTTCTTATTCACTTTTTCCATACCAGTCATTATTTTATAGACTTCTGCCATATCCCCCCTTCATCTCCTCTTCTCTAAACTGAAAAGTCCAAGTCTTTTAATCTCTCTTCATATAGGACCCATTCCAAACCCCTAATCATTTTTGTTGCCCTTTTCTGAATCATTTCCAATGCCAATTTTTTTTTTTTTTTTTTTTTTGAGATGAAGCGACCATATCTATACGCAGTATTCAAGATGTGGGCATACCATGCTTTTATATAGAGGCAATAAGATATTTTCTGTCTTATTTTCTATCCCTTTTTTAATGATTTCTGACATTCTCTTTCCTTTTTTGACTGCTGCTACACACTGAGTGGATGTTTTCGGAGAACTATCCACAATGACTTCAAGATCTATCTCTTGAGTAGTTGTAGCCAAATTAGTCCCCATCATATTGTATATACAGTTGGGATGATGTTTTCCAATGTGCATTACTTTACATTTATCAACATTAAATTTCATTTGCCATTTTGTTGCCCAATCACTTAGTTTGTTGAGATCTTTTTGAAGCTCTTTACAGTCTCCTTTGGTCTTAACTATCTTAAGCAGTGTAGTATCATCTGCAAATTTTGTCTCCCCACTGTTTACCCCTTTCTCTAGAACATTTATAAATAAGTTGGTTAGGATGGGTCCCAGGACAGACCCTTGGGGGATTCCACTAGTTAGTTACCTCTCTCCACTCAGAAAACTTACCATTTATTCTTACCCTTTGTTTCCTGTCTTTTAACCAGTTATCAGTCCATGAAAGGACTTTCCCTCATATCCCATGACAACTTACTTTACTTAAGAGCCTTTGGTGACGGACCTTGTCACAGGCTTTCTGGAAATCTAAGTATATTATATCCACTGGATGCCCTTTGTCCATGTTTGTTGAACCCCTCAAAGAACTCTAGCAGATTAGTAAGGTATGATTTCCCTTTACAGAAACCATGTTGACTTTCCCTCAACAAATTATATTCATCCATGTGTCTGACAATTTTATTCTTCACTATAGTTTCAACTAATTTGCCCGGTACTGACGTTAGACTTACCGGTCTGTAGTTGCCAGGATCACCTCTAGAGCCCTTTTTAAATATTGGTGTCATGTTAGCTATCTTCCAGTCAATAGGTATGGAAGCTGAATTAAAGGTTAGTTACAAACCATAGTTAATACTTCCGCAATTTCCCATTTGAGTTCTTTCAGAATTCTTGAGTGAATTCCCTCTGGTTCCAGTGACTTGTTACTGTTAAGTTTATCAATTTGTTCCAAAACCTCCAGCGGCGGACTCTGCTGGGCTGGAACACCCCCCTGCCTGCAGTGGGCAGGGAGCTGCTCCAGCCCCCATCAGTTAACTGGAATCAGTAAGCATCACCCATGAATGTTAACCAGTTAAGTCTTTACCCCCTCCCGCTCCCCGGAGATCCGCCAGCTGTTCTGAACAGCTGGTGGTTCTCTCTAGATGCCTGTGCCTCTGGCAGTGGGAGGAGACTTCATGCACTCCCCTCCACTCCCAGGCCAATAAGGTCCTGGGGGAGGGGAAGCGCATGAAGTTTCTCACTCCCTGCCCCTGCCATGCAAGGGGACGCCATGCTTAGAGTCAACCACCAGCTGAGCAGCAGCTGGCAGGTGACTTGAAGTGCTGAACCTCTTGCAGGGCAGAAGGAGACTTCACACACATCCCCCACTCCCAAGCCCTGATTGGCCTGTGGGCAGGGGGAGCACATAAAGTCTCCTCCCACCCTGCCCCTGCCCTGCAAGGAGTGCATGGCATTTAGCAGTGCCACACAGTCCTGGCAGGGCAGGAGGAGACTTTGCGTGCTTTTCCCCCTCCCCCATCCCCAGGCCCTGATTGGCGTGGAGATGGGGGGAGCACGCGAAGTCTCTCAGTCCCTGCTCTCTGGCACATGGGGCTTAGAGTCAACTCTGGTGGTTGACTCTAAGAGCAGCGCACTCCCTCATCCCTAGACCCTGATTGGTCTGGGGGTGGAGGAGTGGCAGGGCCTCCTTGAGCTGGGTCAACCCACTTGGCAGGCCGGATATGGCCTACAGAGGCTCTTTTGCCCACCCCTGGTGTAGGGTCTGAATACAGCGGTGTATTCTGTCCCAGTAGTGAAATAACTAAGTAAACAAAGAAAGTAGCCCATTGAGTACCTGACAGTATCTCTCATAGATGACTGGGTCTTATATATTATAGTAACACCCTAAGGCCCCAGCAGGGTTTGGAGCATCATTGTGCTGTACAGACTCAGAAAAGAGAGAATCCCCATGTTGAAGGGTTTACAGTCTGAGGTTATTAACCAAAACTCAGGAATTCTATTAAAACTCACCTATTCTTTCAAAAAGAGTACATTTGGAATTTTTAAATATTTGAAGACTGGGTGCATTGGCATGTTTGCGTGTGGAATAAAATGCATGTGTACAGTAAACATACAGAATTATCCTTTACTATGATCACAGGAGAACTGTCTAAAGTTGAAGTTGGAATTTTAGGACCAGATTCTTCCAGTCTTAAGCATGATGTGTTACCTCACTGATTTCAGTGTGTATACTCAAAATAAAATACAAGTTGGCATTAATAGGGATAACAGAATTGGGCCTTTAATAAAACCTTAAACATTCAGCTTCCATTAAGTCAATGAGAAGCAAGAGTTGAGTCATGTGCATAGTCATTATGGGCATGACCCAGAAGTTAATGGGAATCTTTCTTCTATCTTCAGTTGGCTTTGGATCAGGCTTACCTTTTCTCTCTCTTGCTTTTTGGTGAAACAGAATTATTGAACAGTAAAAGTAAAATAAAATAAATATTTTTTGTTTAGGAAAAAATCTACTCAAAAATATAAAGTAAGCATACACAACAGAGGTGCCCTTTGAAATAAATATTTTTCCTCTTTTAGAAGAATATAGAAAATCACTGTTTGGGAACATCTACACTGCAGGGAAAGTTTTATGTTGCGTAGCTGAAGTTGAAATAGCTTAATTCGGCTTTTGGTGCTGTCTACACATCAGGAAGTCGAAGGAAGAACACTCTTCCTTTTACTTCCCTTACTCCTCATAAAAGGATGGTTACAGGAGTCAGAATAAGAAGTCCTCCAGCTTGACAGTATATTGAAATATAGGTTTGTGGTGTAGACACAAACTATGTTATAGGCAGTCCCCGGGTTACGTACAAGATAGGGACTATAGGTTTGTTCTTAAGTTGAATTTGTATGTAAGTCGGAACTGGCTCCAGATTCAGCCGCTGCTGCTGAAACTTACCAGGGGCTGACTACAGGAAGATGGAGGCAGAATTGCTCTGCCCCCAGCTTCCTGGAATCAGCCACTGATCAGTTTCAACAGCGGCTGAATCTCGAGCCTGGGACAGAACAGCTGGGGTGCCAGGTAGGTCCCTGCAGGACCAACCCGGCAGCACCCCAGCTGCTCTACCCCAGGGTCCACAACAAAAGCCTGGTCTGCTGGGGGGGG